CCCCGTGCAAGGCCGACAGCGGCCCCCTCTCTCCTGGGCCAGACAACCGAACTCCAGCCAATGCGAGCTCCTGCTAACTTGCCCGCATGAAGTGTCAGGACCTCGTAGAGGGCAGGCAGGAAGGCCGTGGATCAGTGCCCAGGGTGAGCCTCAGGTGCACTGGCCTCCGGCTCACTGGGAGTGCCCACTGCCCACTCACAGCAACATGACCAAGGTCGAGCTGGTGAGAATGCTGACCACACACTACCAGAACATGCTCTGAGTGGACGCATCCAAGAGTAGATCTGCAGCAGCTCAAACCGCGCATTTCCCGGCCTGGAGCACCTGCGGGCTCTGGGGGCCAGTCCTGCCCTGCTCACCTGGCGCCTGCGGGCCTGGGGGTCCTACAGGGACCTGGGGGTGAGGGTGTCTACTCACCGTCTGTCCAAGTTTGGGATCCATTGGGCTGCAGGGACGAGCGAGGAAGGTGTCATGCACGCGTTGGTGCTTCCAGGAACGTGGCGGAGTCCTAACGCAGCCTGTTGGGTCGGTGAGTCTCTCATGGCCCCGCCCCCCACAGGCCCGGAAGGAAGACAGGGCTGGAATAGTGGGCCCATTCACGCCAGAAAACAAAGGGGCTCCAAAGTGCCTTCCGGAAGGAACAACACGCTTGTAGTGTGTGTAGACAGGGGCTGAGGTGGTGGTCTCCAAGCCATCTGGTGTTGCTCCTGCAAGCGGGAGCAGGTGCGCAGCCTCCGCCTTGAGACCCACACTGTGCTCTGGCTGGGAGGAGGCTGTGCTCCTGGTGCAGCCACAGCTGCGCCTACAAGCCAGAAGGCGGGGGGCGTGTTTTCCCACCTTGCTCTGGCGGTGTCGGCAGCGAGGAAGCCCTCGGAGGTCTCCTTTCCAGGCACCTGTCCAGCTGCTGGTTGCCCCTCTTGCTCCTGTCCGGTGCAGGTATCACCCCGTCTCTGCCTGTGTCTTCCACTGTGTGTCTGCCTCCTCTGCCCTTCTTACTGTGCACGGGTCCTGAGCCCCACCCTGCTCCAGGTCTGCCTTGTGTCCACGCAGCCGTCCTGGAGGTTCAGACCTCAGCATGAACCGGGCTGGGACTCAGGGCCTCCCACAGAGGCCTGCAAGTCCCCAGGGTGAGCCCGGGATGCCCAGGCAGCCAATCCTCCCCGGAGAGTATGGAGGCCACCCTGGCCCCTGGCTGGTGCTCTCTGGCACCCACACCATGGAGTGGAGTCAGGCTCTGTGGGCCTGTGACTTCGAGGCCTTGGTGGGATGCAGCAGGCCCTGCAGGAGCGGCCCCTCGTTTACATCAGGGAAGCTGATGCCAGAGGGGCGGGCGTGCTATGCCCGGCCAGCGTCCTGGCAAGGCTTTAGGCCTTGGCCATAGCCCCCAGTGTCCAGGGAGGGCCAGGCTAGGGGACAGTAGACTGTGGACAGGACACAGCTCAGCGCCTCGAGTGGAGACCTGGAGTCCTATGCGAGGGCATGGTTGCCAAGGCTCAGGAGGTACAAGGTCACTGGGCACTGTTGACCCCTTCAGAGCCCCTGAGACCCCCTGTGGCGGCTTTCCCCAAGGCCACTGGGCTCCCTGGTGAGGAATGGAGAGGGCAGAGGCCTGTTGGGGCAGGACCCGCGGCCCAGGACTCCCCCTAGCGGTGTGTGCAGGGACCCCAGGCAGCCCCGTAGCCAGCAGTAGATGTTTGGGCCTAGACTGGCGGGGATCATTTCAGGCCAGCGTGAGTGCTCCAGGTATGCGACCCAGCTCACGACCCGGCCACCACACTTCACGGACTCCCCTGAGCTGTCTGCACACCTCCCACTCAACTCAAACACAACCTCCTCCAGGAAGTCCACCCTGGTGCCCTGCACCTTCCCATGCCATGCTGGAATGGTCTGTGTGTCCTTCCTCTGCCTCAGACCACTGCTCCCTGCAGAGCTGCTCTGTAGTGACCTACTGAAGGACAAGAGGAACGCTGGTCAGCTGTGAAGAACGTCCTGACGCGACAGGCTCCTGAGGACATCCAGGGCCATCATGGAGGGAGGCAGAACTCCCAGGACACCTGCTCACCATTCCCTGTTAGCACGGTGAAGCCAGGGAAAGCTGTAACCAGCTAGGGTTGTCACGCCTAGCATCGGGCCAAGAGGGCTCCCAACATGTGGACGAGGTAGACAGTAATGCAGGCTGCATCCCATGCAAGGGCCCACCATGCACACTTGTCCGGTAGGGCACCTTGTCCAGGTGGGCACCTCTCTGATGGACTGCAACTCCCACTGGTGATCATAAGAATCAGGGCTGGGGACAGGCCTGACTAGACAGGTGTTGGCACCTGCTGACATGAGTGTGGGCTGGACAGTGGGATTGGTTGGGTTGAGCTAGGCTTCAACGCCCACTGGAGCAGTCTGTTACCCATCCTGGCAAGTCCAGGACTCGGGAGCTGGGGGTAGGCTTGGTGGAGATTACTGAGGGTCGCTCCAGCTAGGCTGCAGTTCCCATTGGTGTACGTGAGAGCTGAGTGTGTGGTGGGCAGGGCTGGGCTGCGCCACAGCATCCATTGGTTTACGTAAGAGGCAAGGTTGCAGACAGAACCGACCTAGGAATTACAATTCCCAGTGTGTGGGCAGTTGGCTGAAGTGGGTGACAGAGAGAGCCGGACCCCCATATTGGCAAACACACACAAGAGTCAGGTCTGGGATCACTTCAGATGAGGTTTCTTTTGGGATCCCTCCAACTGAACCACTCCAACCATGGGGAATCACGGGATCTGTGGTCTGACCTGGAGTACATGTGTCAGAGCTGGGTCTCCTCAGTGGCTCAACAGAGTGGATAACATACCAGATGTACATGGAAGATATGGCAGTCCACCAGGGCCTGCACAGGGCATCTGCTACCGTAACAGAGGAGGAACAGAACGAACGGATTTGCAGTCAAGTGTTGACAGCAAATATCTGGGCGAATGGAGACTAACGTGGGCTGTGTCAGCCAATGGACCTTGGAAGGACGGCCTCACCCTCGGAGCAGCAAGATCAGCAGCATTTCAGAACTATCGAAACCACCCGAGCAGAAACCTTGGCGCATGTGCCGCGTCGGGACCGTGGGATGACACTGGGTGGCTGGCTGTTCCCCATCCCCGGGACCGAGGGGCTTGGGAGCCTGGGTGTGCTTCTCCCTTACCTCCTCCCCTTTCCCATGAAACAGGAAGAAAAACTTGAAAACAGTCGTTTCACCCACCCTCCCCTAATCCTTGACCCTTCCCTCCCTAATCAACTATGTAAATATCATCAAAAAGAAAATAAAACTAGCTGATTTGTAGGGCCCAGTGCTGTGACCTAGCAGCTAAAGTCCTCGCCTTGAACGGGCCGAGATCCCATATAAGCACTGGTTCTAATCCTGGCAGCCCTGCTTCCCAACCATATCCACCATATCCCTGTTTCTCGCCTGGGAGGGCAGTTGGGGATAGCCCAAAGCCTTGGGTAATTTTAGAGCATTCCTCTTAAAAAATATGATATGCTCATTGGTTGAATCAAGCTAGAAGTTAACTGCATCTCCGAGATTTGTATACCTATTATTTGCAGCATTCAGAGCTTTCTTTCCCATTAGAAATCTTTCCATACTTTTATTTCTGATTTGAAAAGACTTCAGTTTGCTCACTAATGCCTGTGAGCTTCCCAGGGGCTAGCAGCTAAGTTGTTTTTTTTTTTTAAATCTAGATTGTGTTTTAAATTAAGACCCACGTGGGAGACCTGAAAGAGCTCCTGGCTCCTCCTCTATATATGTGTATCTGACTTTGTAATAACAATAAATCTTTTTTTAAAAAAAAGATCTGATTTGTAAATGCTTCCTGGTGTCTCACAGGTTGTCTTCTCATTTTTAAAAAAAAATTAAAAAGATTTATTTTATTGTTTTTATTGGAAAGTCAGATATACAGACAGTAGAACAGAGAGGAACATCTTCTGTCTGATGATTTACAACCCAAGTGGCTGAAATGGCCGGAACTGCGCCATTCCAAAGCCTTTCCTTATAAGGACTAAGTTTGTATTGGGTTTGCAACAAATGGACATGCCCCACCAGTTCCCCTCAGTGGTTCTTGTTGCCTCACCCCTCAGTGGCCTTGGGGCCTGCTGGCAGTAAATTTCCCCAGGTCCCCAAATGGCACCCCCTTTTCCCACCCAAGTTCTGACCTGAGTCGCAGCCTGATCCAATATTGACTGGGTCATAAGGGTTTGAATAGGTGGGAACACAGGAATGTGTTCCTTGGGCAGCCATGCCCACCAAACCTCAGGACACGGGGCAAATCCCACGTGCTCATTGCCCGAGGGGCCTGCGTAGGCCTGCGCACTGGGGGACACCTGGCTGACAGGGCAGCGACAGGTGCAGGACTTCCCTGGAGCCGATGGCGTGTTGACACTGAGCCCGTGTCAGCCTCGAGCCCACGAGAAACCACCGTGCTGGGCACACGAAGTGGCGTGCCACGTGGACTGGGCAACCAGATGCTGGCGCCTCAGTAGGCAAGGGGCAGGCCCAGGAACCCGAGTGCCAAGCACAACCACGTCTGCAGTAGGCACACTGGCATTTCAGTTTCTACTCTAAAATGACACGCGACATACAGACAGGTGCCCAGGCGGTGACGTCTCCATCCACATGCCCCCAGCCTCTTCCACAAGAACAGCACCATCAACACTGAAACACCAAGGCCAAGGTCAGTCTTTATTCAGACCTCATTGGTTTGGGCTGTCCCAGGCCTCTGGGGCGCAGGGCTCTGAGGCTGACGTGTCCGCACTGGGGCCCAGGGTGCCAGCCACCCCAACTGCACCGGCCAGTGCCCTGGGGAGCTCTCCTGGCCAGGCAGCCTGTTTCTCGGACCCACACCCCAGGCAGACACGAGCTCCAATGGGCCCTCCTACCCCCGACAGCCATTGTGGATCACAGGACCCCGCCCCCACGGGGCAAGGCCCCCTCCCACCCCTCCCGTCAGTGGAGAGTGGGACAGCCAAGATTCCTGGAAGTCTTGGGTTCTGCTTTTTATTGAGCAGCACGGACTGAGATGACCGAGCCCTCACGGGCACGTGTGGGTACAAGAAGAGGCACCTGGCAGGTCAGAGCAAGGACAGCCCTGAGACTGAGGGGCCGGGCAGGGGCCCCACAGCGTGAGATACCCCTGGCTTTTCTCCTTGGTTCCCTTCTGAATAATCCAACTGGAAAACTGAGATGGAAGGACACAGCAGGAGGCGAGTCCTCCCTCCCCCTGATTCCTGACAGCCAGTACTTCCTGCAAGGTCTCATGAGGTCCAGTCCTGCTGACTGCTAGGGAGAGTCGGGAGGGGTTCAGGGCGACACTCCCAGCCACCTGTACGGCGGACCCCACCTGCGGACAGCTGGACGCACATGCACTTGGAAGTCTGTGCATGGCCTCATGAGACTGCGACAGGGGAGAGGTCAGAGGGCAAGGGCAAGGGCAGGGGCAGGATGACTTCCGGTTGGACACGCACCCGCGCGATGGTGGCCTCTCAGTTCTTGAGCTGAGACACTTCGTACAGGTATGCAGCCAGCATCTTGGTTCCTTCTATGTAATTGTGCCTGGGGCAGAAGACAGCAGGATGTGGGTAGGTGGGCAGCTGGCAGCAATTGCCCACAGTGCACACTGCACTCCTCCTGGGGTGGCCCTGAGCTCTGCTTGCTACTGGGTCCTCCAGCATAGGCTCTGCCTGCCCCCCACACCAATCCTGGGACCCCAAGGAGTCTCCCTAGCACCCTGATAGCAATGCCGGGTCACTTTGGGCCACTCCTGTCACCTGTTCCGCAGGCCAGGCCCTGCAAACAGGTCTTTCTGTGTCTCTGTCCTGGTCCTGCCTGCTCCTTCAGGTCACCTCAGGGTCCTTGTTTTATGTTGTCCTCAGCAGTGCTGGGAGCCAGGTGCCCCCTCCTGAACTGCCTGCACACTCCTGCCTGCCCTGCTGGTTACAGGGGTCCCCAATGGCCGGCCCAGGGCAGCTCGCACAGTTGGCAGTGACACCATGAGGTTTTAGAAAAGGAAAGTTCTAGCAAATGAAAGACATAATATTCCTGTTACTGCGTGTTCATGACCATGTTATCACAAGCCACTTTATCGTTTTCCTGCTTAAAACAGAAATGTCTATTTATGAATTCTGCTTGTGGTTTTTTCACAAATAAAATAGTAAAATTTTAAAAAAAGGAAAGGAGACAGGGCTCCATGGAAGGTAAACGGGGCACAGAACTGAACACAGAGATGAGGCTGGAGTTCCCCAAGTCACCAGCTCACAGCCCCTCCTGCCTGCAGCCCCCTAAGCCAGCCCACAGCCCCTCCAGTCCACAGCCCCTCCTGCCTGCAGCCCCCTAAGCCAGCCCACAGCCCCTCCAGTCCACAGCCCCTCCTGCCTGCAGCCCCCTAAGCCAGCCCACAGCCCCTCCAGTCCACAGCCCCTCCTGCCTGCAGCCCCAGGCCGCCAGCCCACAGCCCCCTCCTGCCTGCAGCCCCAGGCCGCCAGCCCACAGTCCTTCTTTCCTCTCACCAGCAGGTGGCGGGGGTGTGCAGCCGCCATCCTCGCCAGCCTTGCTGCTGGGGCAGTGGTGCCCAGGCTGGCACTGAGGAGGGCGGGGCTAGGGCAAGCGATGCCTGCGGCACCTTACCTGTTGAGCTTCTCATTCTGGGAGTGGGCACCATCGTCAGCTGACCCCACGGGCAGCAGCATGACGTTCTTGCCCGTGGCCTCTTGGAAGGTCAAAGTCACAGGGATACTGCCGCCTTCCCTGGTCAAATCTGGGTCCACCCCAAAAACTGGGGCAACAGAAGAAAAGGCCTGGTGAATGCTGGGACCGCCCTGAGCCAGCAGCCTGGCCCCGGCCACTCGCCTGCCCTCCCCGGGCCATGTGCCCACATGACAGGACCCGCCTGGGCCGGGGGGACATCTAACCTGTTTTCAGGGCTCTTCTCCCAGCCATGTAATGAGGGTGGTTGAAGTCGGATACCCAGGGCTTCCCACCATGGCCCATGTACACTTTGAACTTGTTGGGGCTGTGTAGCTCAGCAAACTTCTCAGTCAAGTAGCTTATAACCTACACCACAAATACAAAACACAGAATGTTGTACTACATAAGGTCTGCCACACTGGGCACACCAAGTGACCAGAATGAGCGTGTCACAAGCCTATGGCAAGTCTGCAGCAGCCCTGCTACAGCCGGCCTCCTGTGTGCACCTGTCGGCCTCAGGGGGCCTAGGGCTGAGTTGGGCAACCGTGCTAACAGGAAGGGGCACTTGGAAAATCCAGTTATTTCAGGGTAAAAGGCAACCCATGACTGCCCATATTTAAACCATTCCCTGCCGGGCTCTCCATCACGGCCGAGCGTTTACAGGAAAGCTCTAGCTAGTATCGCTTCCTCCCGCCCGGCCTGCCCTCGCCAGAGCAGAGCAGAGGCTCCACGCCGCGCAGGCCGGGAGGAGTGCCCCATGGGACTCTGCTGGCTCCTCAGAAACTGCAAGAAACAAGCTCTGTGGTTTGAACTGTTGGGGTGGAACTGGCTGTGGTGTAAGCTGGCAAACCTGCTTGGCAAAACCACCACCTCCCTGCTTCATGTAGGGTAACATGGAGCTAGGAGGCAGCCAGGGCATCGCCTCACCACAGAGCTTCCCCACGTAACCCGGATGCCATGTCCTGCCCTCCGCCACAGCCTCCTGGGTGCCCAGTGTGCCCGGCAGACAGGCAGCTCCCGGACTTTCACCCCACATGCGGGCCAGGGTCAGTGCTGCCACGCGGCCTTGGCGAGCTCACAGGTCAGGCTTGCGCATGCCTCAGCAGTAACAAAGGTCACTCGGGCGTGAGGCCTGCGCGTACATCTGCGTCCTCCATAGGACACGTGGGGTCTGGGTCCCGCCCGGGGAACAGCCCCGTCTCCCTCCGCAGGGAATAGCATCTCCCCTGCCCTCACGTGCCTGCTCGCTGACGACTTCAGGGGTCATGTTCGGCACGAGCCTGATGGAGAACTTGCCGATCACCTTCCTGGGGATCACGGTCTTGGCCCCGGAGCCGGAGAAGGCGCCCTCGATGCCGTGCAGGGAGAGGGACGGGAACCGCCACCGATGCATGAGGAGGTCTTTCTGTGGAGACACGGCCCCACCCGGGGTCAGAGGCCAGGCCTGCCATGGGGCAGTGCGCTGCCCCGAGACAGACAACCCCACCCAGGAGGGCACAGCCCCACCCTGACCTGAGGTGGCTCTAAGGGGCTCCAGGGTTCCGTGAGCTGCCCCTGTGCTCCTCGCTACACCTGTACAGCTCAGCTCTGCCATATGGAGCTGGGAGAGCCCCAGGGCCAGTCACTGAGTGTCTATAAACTCTGGGGCAGTGGCCATGGGGGACGGCGTGGGAAGGGTCTATGTGCAGAGGGAACACACACAAGGCACCTGAGGACATCCCAAACGTGGGGCTCCTCTTCCAGGAGAGGAGAGTTGGCAGGGAGAGGACACGCACAGCATCCTGGCCATGGCTCACTGACCACAGACACTTGCTCCTGGACCATGGGCTAGGCAGGAAACAGCCAAGTTTCCCATGACGGTTCTACACACCCTGGCAAGGATGGCAGCCAGAGGGGAATTCTGGGAGATTCCTGAGTCTGTGTGGACTCCTCCTGTCTGTCACCTAACAGTTCAGTGACGCTGGGAAGCCGGGAGGCCCTGCCACACCTTGCACACTCAGCAAGCATTCCTCCCAGGCGCTGGACTCTGTCCCTGGCATCGGCGTGAGCTGACTGCCAGCAAGGCGCCCGTCTTCCCACTCTCAGGCTCCGACCCCCTGCTCCTGGTCTGCTTCTTTTGCTGTCTGCCTGCACCTGCGGGGCCCTCGCTGGCTTCCCCAGTCACTGCTGTTGCACGAGCATGGGGCAGCTGTGACTGTCCCCATGTGATCTGTGTGCAGGGAACCCCACGGTGGCAGTGCCTGCTGCTGGCTTGACGGCATGCAAGCTCGCAGCAGGCCATGACCTTCCACACTGGGCAGTACAGTCTAGCTCCCAGCTTCCTCAGCAGGCCCTGTCTTCATTCGGTTCTCCAGCTGTTCCCACTGTCTCTTATGGCCTTCAGCACCAGCCCTGTGTAGCCTTCTATAGTCTACCCTGAGCTGAAACCCAAGGGCATAACAGGCCTCACTCCGCTCACATTCCTGGGATCTAGACAGTGCTGGCTGTACCAGAGGCGCTGCACCTGCTCCCACAGCCTCGTGGGCCTAGCATCAAGCTGAGCAAGACAAGATGCAGGACACAGTGGCTCCTGCGGGGGAAGGCAGCACCCTGTGCAGTCTGCACCCAGGCACGTGGCTCTACTGGAGGGAGCAGGACGATGAGGCGTGGGGATCATGGGCTGCTGGGCTCCTCTCCCGGTTGTCCTGGCGCCACTTCTCAGAGCCCAGCCCCTCCCATCCCGCTCCCTGTGCAATCAGTACCACATGTTGGCGGTGCACATGGACGGTACCAGGCTCCCCCATGTGGGGGCTCAGACATAGCACACATGGCCCCCGCCAGTACCTTGGAGTCATGCAGCAGCGTCTTGGCCCCCACGTCCTTGGCGAACTCATCCAGGTCAAAGTCGATGTGGTCGTAGAGTTCCTGCTCCTCACTGGTCACCGGATCCACGGCCTCGTTGATGCCTGGGATGAGGATCTTGCCCTTCTTGTCTATCAAAGAGCCTGCAGGAAGCAACAATGGCGACACATGTGGCACGTGGGCAGCACAGATGGCGCTGTCTGCCACACCAGTCCAGGAGGCCTTGCAGCCTGAAGCAGGAGTGCAAGGGCAGTGGCAAGGGTCCCTGTGCAAGGCCCCAGTCCCTGGCAGGCGCAGCAAGCACCTGTTGCCAGCAAGCCAAGTCACGGCCCACGCAGCCTTGGGTGGCGAGCCAAGTGGCACTCATGCCTGTTCTTGGGGAGGAGCTGAAGGGCAGTGGGAAGTGAGCTGTCCTCAGTCACACAGCTGGACGTCAGCAAGCAGGTGGAGCGCTCCGCACACCCACAGCTTCTCCCCGAGCACTCCTCCCACGTAGGCTGTGCAGGGGCCACTGCGCAGGCAGTGTGGGTCCTGGGCCCAGACATGGCTCTCCCCGGGTGATGCTCCATGTATGGGAGCAGCAGCTCTGGCCTGCACACACCTCGAGGTGCAGGACACGGAGCTGTCCAAGCAGGGGCCTTTCAGGTGGCTGAATGTAAATGCAGAGCAGACCAGATGGGGGGACAGGGTCCTGTACTCTGGGAGTGAGCCAGACAGAACCTGGGGGTGGGGGGACCAAGCCAGGGGACAAGGAACAGAAGTGCTTGGCAGGGTGTTGGGCTGGCCGAGGCAGCAAGAGGCGGGCAAGTGGGCATGCCTGGTGACGGATGGTTCCTGAGGCTCCCGATACTCCCGCAGCTGCCAGCACGGCCTGAGATAGGCCCAGTGTGTTCTGCCCCGATGACGCAGGCCACCCACCACTGCCACACTCACCCATCAGCGTGACGAGATCTGTCATGGCCTCGTGCACCGAGCCACCGTACACCCCCGAATGCAGGTCCTTGTCACTGCACTCCACCTGCAGGGGGACAAAGGCCACTGCAGCTCGGCGGCTTGGTGGGAGCTTACCTGCATCGCATGACAGCTCGAGAGCGACAGTCTTCCTAATCAGAACATGTTCCCTGAAGGAGCAAATGCAGGCACTCGGCAAACTACCAAAGTCAGACGGAAAACACAGCCCGGCCACCGTGACTCTGACAGATATCAGATCTCAGGCGGGGCGTTTCATTGGTCTATGGAGTCGAGGAGCTGGGGCACTGAGCAGCTCTGAGCTTCTCCCACACGTGACTGGCGACCTGCACCTGTCCACAGCTGGCTATGGAGCAAGGATACTGGGCATTGGCAGGCCTGAGAGCTGTGTGCGAGCACCGTACCTCGATGAAGAAGTAGCAGATGCCGCGGAGCCCGTAGGTGATGCACGGCTTCTTCTTCCCCAGCCAGTAGTTGTCAGAGATGCACACGTAGTCCACATCCTTAAAGAACTTGTCCTTCTGGGCAAAAATCAGCTCGTCCAGGCCTTCCGAGCCAGACTCCTCCATGCCCTCGAGGCAGAATCGGACATTGACAGGGATCTCCTACGATGCAGACAGGAGGGGAGACAGCTTTCTGCATGCTCCTTCCAAAAACTGCCAGGAAACCAGTGCTTTGAGATGGAGATGCACCTCTCCGCCCTCCTGCAGCCTGAGCCCAGGCTGCTGCATGCGCCGTGGAGACCCCGCCCCCAGGGCCACACTGGGAGGCGCAGCGTGCCATCACTCAGAGGTCTCTGCCATGTCCCAGCAACCAAGGAGCTTCCCGGGCACGCAGGCTGCTCCCTCCAAAATAAAGACCCCAGGGCCCATCACCGGGCCCTGCTGACTGGAGGAAGAGCAGTTGAGAGGTTTCCTGTCTTTGCCCCCGTTACCTTCAGCACTGCCCTATGGACTGCCGCCCAGCCCTGGCTGATGGCCCCGGGGGCTGGAGCACACCCGAGTATGTGCTCATGTGCAAGAGCGTTCCAGGGGCTCTTCCAACTCTGTGTGGGGAGGCAGGTGGGCACAGCAGGCAGGGCAAACTCCCAGGGCCAAGCGGGTGGAGTCGTGGCTCAAGCTTTGCCAGAGCCAGTCTGCAGCTGTCCCCATAGTGCGGTTCGCCACTCCACACAGTTCCCTCCTCTCCCACCCCTTAAAGGATCCCCACCCAGAACAGCTGCCAGTCAGCAGGGCTCTCGGAGAGGCTCTGCCCTATGCCCTGCCCCTTGGCTGACCGCAGGCCCCTGGAGGGCGAAGCTTACCCCTTCACCCAGCACGCAGTAGGGCTGGCAGTAGCATCAGGGCATCACTCCCTTCTGGTCTAAGATGAGCCCTTGGACTAGAAGGCCCCGCACTCCTCACTTTTCAGATCCACCATCTCATGCTCTGAGAACGTGCTCATTTTTTCATGATATAAAGTTCAAGCCAGAGTGAAAATTGCCCACATAGCATGATCACAATTTGGTAAAACGCCATTGCAAAGCACAGCAGATAACAATATACTAAAACTGTTTTATTCCTCTCCACTTTTCTGTAATTTTCAAACTTTCAACACTATTCAGGTATTTCATATTTAAGAGACTACATTTTGGGGCTGGCACGGTGATATAGTAGGCTAGGCCTCCACCTGTGGCACCAGCATGCCATATGGGAGCCAGTATGAGTCCGCACTGGAGGCTTGGCCAAGGCCCGGGGACCTGCAGTCACGTGGGGGACTCAGAAGACCCTGGCTCTTCGTTTCGGACGGGCCCAGCTCCTCCCACTGCTGCCACTTGGAGAGTGAACCAGTGGAAGGAAGGTCTCTGCCTCTCCTCTGCAGCTGCCTTTCCAATAAAAAATTTTAAAAAAGGAAAACACTTTGAAGTAATAAAATCTATGTGTAAGAGGACAGAAGGCAGAGTCACATAGTCTCCACCGCACGGTGGCTGGTGACCACGCTGACAGGTCCTTGATGTGTGGGCCAGCACCTTGCTGAGTCAGGAGCATCGGGGCCAGCACCTTGCTGGGTCAGGAGCATCGGGACCTTGGAGGATCTGTAAAGCAATCGCACTTGGACCAGCTCTTCTCCCCAGCAGCCTGAGTCAGCCCCTCTGATAAGGGTTGGGGCACTGCTCTCTCCTGAGACCAGAGTCCAGCTCCATGGGGTACAGACAGCGCTCATGGACCGGCAGGGTGCAGGCAGGCGTACCTGATTTGTTTTCTGATAGGCCTCCAGGGCGTTTATCCAGCCAGCTACGGGTCCCTTGTCATCTGTGGAGCCTCGCCCATACAATTTGCCTGCAACAGCAATCAACACGTTCATAAAGTTGGGATTATTCCACACCAGTAAGGCGCTTATCTCAAGTGGCCATCTGATGCCCCCGGGCAGGAGCACTTGAGCCCCAGGATGAGGCTCTCTGGCATGTCCACCTGACTCAGGGGCACAGACTGTGCCCTGCCCCAATTCTGACTGCTAAGTCTAAACTGATAAAGAACAAAAGCTGCACTTTCACTGTTTCTCAGTCTCTCTTTCTTGAATTGTCACCCTGGGATCTGTGAGTCATGATACAATTTCTGACTTGTGACATCAGTCATAGTGATTGCTCCAACCCAGTTTCTGCTCCAGATGCCCAGGCTGGGAAGCTGACCACCAGCAGCTGAGGCCCTGAGCCCCATCACCCCTCTCCTAGGGGGTGGCCTCCCTGCAGCCAGGGAGAGGGCAGAACTGCCTGGAGCCTCTGGCCACTCTGGGCTGTCCTGGCTGGCCTCTGGCTTCCTCGCCCTGAGTCCTTCATGAGGGTCTGGCAGCTGCAACCTGACCTTCCCCAAAGCAGAGGGAAGCCCGAGGTCATCACTTCCTCGGGGAGATCCTTAGACAAATTAGAGCCGGCTGCACACCAAAGTTAAACACAGCTTCTCTGCAGAAAGGTCTTGCTGTGGTGGCCTAGAAGCTAAAGTTCTCGTCTTGAGTGCCAGGATCCTGTGTGGGCGCCGGTTCTAATCCTGGCAGCCCCACTTCCCATCTATCTCCCTGCCTGTGGCCTGGGAAAGCAGTAGAGGACGGCCCAAAGCCTTGGGAGCCTGCACCAGCAGCCTGCACCTGCGTGAGAGACCTGGAGGAAGTTCCAGGCTCCTGGCTTTGGACTGGCACAGTTCTGGCCATTGTGGTCACTTGGGGAGTGAATCATTAGCCGGAAGATCTTCCTCTCTGTGTCTCCTCCTCTCTGTATATCTGGCTTTGCAATAAAAATAAAATAAATCTATTGTGGTCACTTGGGGAGTGAATCATTAGACGGAAGATCTTCCTCTCTGTGTCTCCTCCTCTCTGTATATCTGGCTTTGCAATAAAAATAAAATAAATCTTAAAAAAAAAAAAGGCCTTGCTCTGGCCACAAACTCTGAATGAACATGGCCGGCACCCAAGGGCACCAAGGAGAGTCTAGCCATGCACACTCCCCTCCACGGCAGCACGTGTGGGCTCTCGCATGCAGCTGGCCCTGGCTTCACTGCCCAGGTTGCTCCGGGTGGAGAGGACTGGCTGGCATGGCTGCTCATGCAGCAGCAGGGTCTCCCAGGTGCTTGGACTGTTGCAGACAAGTGTGGGTTCCTGGAGCTGCATGTGGTCTGAGCAGTTGGGATTGGGTGCGAAGGCCAGGAAGGGGAAGGCAGAGCAAGTGGGCGGGGACCTCACATTGTCCTGAGCCCGTGTGGCAGTGTACAGGATCAGGGTGGGGAATCCAAAGGCAAGGACCCAGGCAGTAGGCAGGGGTGGCAGGCGCAACCCCAGCAACAGGACAGGAAGGCAGATCTGGAGAACCGGCCTGGGAAGGGCGGGGGAAGGAGGTCAGGTCAGCCACCTGGGCTTTGGCTTAACAACAGAAGGCTTTGTCAAGTCTCAGTGATGGAGGCTCATGAGAGAAATCTCTAGAACCTGACTTCTAGGCAGTGTTGGGAAAAGTCTGCACGAGAAAGAGAAAAGAGACTCTGTGACTCCCCTATGGCAGACACGCCCCTCCCCTGGCGGGCAGCAAGCCCTGGCACACGGGGGCCTCACCGTCCCGCTCCACCAAGGTGAAGGGCTCGCTGTCCCAGCCGTCCTCCAGCGCCGCGGGCTGCACATCCAGGTGCCCGTAGATGCACACCGTTTTCTTTTGGGGGTCGGAGCCCAGCTTGCCAAGGAGGATGGGAGGCAGCGGGATCTCGGAGCCGTCAGGGAGCTGCGTGCAGTGGAGAGCAGCTGCGTCAGGGATCGCGTTGGAGGCAGCAAAGAGAGCACACCCCCTCCTCACCTGTGCTCGGCATAAACCGTGCTTGCCAGCTTCCAGCGGCTGGGTACATTCCCCCTTATCCATCACTAAACAAAACATTCTGCGGCTTAGTTCAGAACGCAACTTGATGCCTTAGGTTTTGGAATAATGGTTAGCTACTAACCAACCAGAGATGTATTTTCCACATTTTATACACAGAAAGGGTTGGTTTTATACACCAAGACAGGAGGAAGTGTCATTTACAGAGCACATGAATCACGTGGTGAGAACTGGCACCCCTCCCAAGCCGCGTGCCAAGGACCTTCCCTGTGGCAGAGAAGGAGATGCCCACCACGTCTCTTGCCTGAGCCTGGGAGAAACACCTGGGACATGCAGTTAACAAAACATGCAATTAACATGGGCTGAGATATCTGAAATGAGAAGGAGCCATCCCTGCCGGTTAGAATGCTGAAGGAAGATGCTCCGGCCCCTGGGCCTCACACACCAGCTTTTGGGCAGCGAGAGTTCCCCTGGGGAGGCTGGAGCCAGGGCACTGGCAGGCAGGGTGGGGCCCGATCCTTGGAGTAAAGTCTAGGCTCCTTGCCGGTAAGCTCAGGGATTTCTGGGAATGGCTCGCCAGCCATTGTTCCTTGAGAATGACCTTTCTATTAATTAACTTTCTTCTTTCCTGGAAGAAAGAGCTGAGCATAGCAGAACCTTTGCCCCAGTCCAGCTGCAGCTGCCATCCGGAAGTCCATGTCCAAATCAGGCCCTTCCTGTCCAAGCAGATGAGCCACAGAGGCAGTCAGGTGTCCCCTTCCTACAGACTGCGGCTGCGCCAAGCAGCTGGCCTCACCTTCTGCTTTCCGATGTCCACCAGCTCCACAGAGCCGCCCAGCTGCTGGATATCAGCCGCGGCGACCTCCATCATCCTGCGGATCTCTCCCCTCTTCTCGGGCCACGCCGACACGCTCTGGATAGCCACCCATGTTGCCAGCTTCTGTTTGTGGACAGCAAGCAAAAGGGGACTGTGAAACGGTGCTCCTAAGGGAAGGCAGGTGTGCACAGCCACTGGGCTGCAGGCACAGGCTGAAGACAGTGACCCCTCGTGCAGAAACAGACCCGTCACACCTGCCTTTCGATTAGGATTTTAACACTCGCGGTGCTGAGGACTGGAGCCCAACAGAAAGATGCCAGCCTATGGATTTTTAACCATTAAGAATGAGGTGAATATAAGAATGAAGTGACTCTTTAAGTTAATGTGAAGAAACAGAGTAATATGTAACATTACATCTAAATACAAAGTAGCTTTTTAAAACTTTCACAAGAACAGGAAATCAGGTTAATTGCTGTCCCTAGAAATATACACTTACTAACAGAAATCTAACATGTAACACACTGTAATGAGATGGCAGCCTTAGGAACATTTTTAATGCTCGGCTTCAACAGCGACTTCTGTTAGCATCTTAGAAATTTCTCTGAGCCCCACACTACCACACCCAACCCCACACTTTGCAGGACTCCCCGCTTACCTGGACGTAGCGGTCCTGATTGTCATCAATGTACTGAAACAGGGTGGTGAGAGCCGACATCCTGCAGCTTCAGGGCTTGAGATTCTTAGAAGCAAGAGACTGGCCGACTGGCGGTTCCTACCTCTGCGGAGAGACTGCTGGGCGACTGGCCCGGCAGGTGCTTGCTCAGAAGGCAGCTGTGGGGCTCCGCCCCTCAAGCCCATATTGCAACACAGTTATCACGAGGATGCTCCAGGAAGTGACGGGGCTCCGGGGACAAAACTAAAGGCTGAGATGGAATTTCCTGACTCTCCTCAGAAGGAAGCTGCAGAAAATCACACTGGGGCAGCGGGTTGGTTGGTCGGGATCAGCGTTAAAGCTGGCCAAAAAAGAGGAACTGCAAGCAACACTGACCTCCTCACACAGAGCAAACAGCCACTTCCACAAGCGCAACAACGCAACAACGTTACTCGTGTCTCCAGTCACAAGTACCCTCAGCAAAGCACATGCACAGCAGAAGGGCAACAAGCCAAACCTCCAGCACGTGGGCAAAAAGGAGGAACCTTCCTTCTGCCAAGGGGTCACTTGGTATTTGCAACATCATTCACAAGCCACCCAAAGTCACCACCAACTCACTAACTGGCCTGTTCTACAGATGTGCGGAATTCCCAGTCCCGCAGGGCCAGACCAAGTGACTTCACAGGCTTCTGTGGCCCAACAGCCAGACAGTCCCTGCTCCCTGCAACAGGACCCAAACACACGGCCATCGACACATAGTGGGCACACTTCCTGCACAGACACTCACTAATTCCCACGGAGCCTTTCCATACAGGAAAAATAAACGGTGCTTTCAAGAATCAGAAGGAATACAAAGTAAAAAATGATTCTGGTAGTAAGACTTGCAAAACAGGTTCTCCCTGTGTTCAGCTGACAACTTGGATTCCTCTCCATGGCAGACTCCTGTTTGAGCAGCGGCGGACCTGGACTGCAGGGTGTGCCAGCGCAGCTGGGCCGCGAGGCCTCCGGAAGTCTTCCCATGGCCACAGCTCTGAAGCAGATGCTGGGCAAATGCCGTGTACAGGCACCCTACGGCTGAAGATAATTTTTTCTCCATGTAAGACTCCAAAGAAAGTTCTACATCCAGCACTGACTGTACCACAAAGTGACAGTGGCTCAGCTGACGTTATGGGGGTGCGTGGGCAGCTCAGATGACTGAGGTCCTCACGCCTTCTTGTCCCCTTCAAGCACAGCAGGACGTGACAGACCCGCACGGCTCCATGCCAACTCAGATACCCCTGCGGGGGCACGGAAGTGTGCAGGACGCACTGACGCTGCAGAGACCCGACAGACAGCACCCTCACCAGGAAGCACACGTGCAAGCTACCTGCTGCCATCAAACGCCCTTCCTTCCTTCCTTCTTCCTCTTTCTTTCTTCTTCCTCTTTCTCTTTCTTTCTTTCTCTCTCTCTCTCTCTTTTCTTTCAGAAATGTCAATGGCTTGCATTCGGGTTCCTGGACACTAGGCACCACAAATCCTAAACCCACAGAGGTGAGGTCCTGCAATTAGTTCTTTGAGGTCACATTCAACAGTTGCCTTCCAGCTAAAGACACTCAGAGATATAATGATCTAAATTGCACTTTCAGGAGTAGGAGTCTAAACCCCGTTCATCTCCCCAGGCAGTCTACAGGGCTGGGAAACAAGCTCCAGCTGCCTGCACATCCAGCCGTGGTGCCTCAGGCCAGACGCCCTCTCTCCGCCCTCTCTCCCCTCCCCGCTGACACCTCAGCACCTCCTCACACCACCGTCAGACTCCAGGGCTGCTACCGGCCCGGCTGAAGTAACAGCAAAACCCGGGATTGCACAAGTTCCTCCTCAACCGGAGCAGGCAGTGGAGGGCTAGGGGCTTGCTCTTCGACGCCCAGCGTCTAAAGCAACCCAAGAGTGGCCTCCATTTGACTGATGGACAAGCTTGAGGGGGACGTCGGCGTCTGCAAGCTACTGGGGGATCTGAGTCTCCTTCCTACCGCAGCCCTCCCGACCCCTCGACCCAACAGGATGGTGGAAGCTGGGAAGGGGTCTGCCTGCAAGGAGGGAGAGAAGTTTGCCTCTCTCAGCAGCCCCACCGAGCCTAAGGTCGCGCTGCTTCCGATCTTTCTCTGCAATCGTCAGCAAGGCCCGAGCCCGGGGACTCCCGGCAGTCCCAGACCGGCAGAGGACGTAGCCTTTGGGATCGCGGCGGAGGGAGGGCCCAGAGGTCGCCTCGCCCCATGGCCTTCCGATGGTTCCCTCCGAGGCACCTTCGCCCACGGCCCCGGGCACAGCCCGGCCTCCATTGTTCCGGCCCGGATGGGCCAAGAGCAAAGCCGATCGCACGGGGACCAAGGCGCCAGTCCTCCACTTCCCCGGGGCCCTCCCTGCCTGCACCGCTCCCTGACTCGGGCCGCCTACCTGGAGTAAGAGCCGGCCTGGGAAACTCGGCGGAGGTGGCCGGCTCGCCAGGGGCAGGTGCGGCGCCGGTTCCGGACCACGTGTCCCCGGCCACGCCTCCTCCAGCCCAGCAACCCTCGGCCCCTCCGGAAGGCAGCGGCATCTGGCCGGTCCACCAGTGTCCTCCTGGACTGACGTCGCCCCGACCGTCCACCAATCCCCAGCCTCGCCCCGCTCGCCCCGCCGTCGTCCCGCCCCTCCGCGTCGGCGGGCGTGCGCCGGAGGAGGCCGCCAAGGTTTCATCATCTCAGCGTTGCAAGAATCAGCGGAAAGGCTTCTGTGAATCTGAAGAAATGTTAAATAAAAAATTGACCCTTAGCGTAGAACCCTGTTACTTGACATGTTGTCAGAAGGCAGGACGTCCTAGGTCCTGCTGTTTGAAACACTGCAAAGGTGTGTATCTGATTGTTAACCCTAAGGTGGAGTGTGGTACCCAGTATGGTACTTGGAATTGTCCCTTTGTTTGGGACAGGTGAGGCGTTGAAAGAGTTGCCAACTGTACAGCATGTAGGACCATGTCTGACAGCAGGTGCCTCTTCCCATACACTGGGCATTCTCACCGTGGAAGGACTCCTCTGAACAGAAAGGCCTGGCGTGACACAGGCTGGCCCGTCTCTGCAGGTGCCCAGGTTCCAGGTGAGAACCCGGTGAGTTTGGCTGTTGAATCCATGTCCTCCTAACAGCTCTGTGATATTGCTTAAGTCGCCTTCCACAGTGGAGACCAGCTGTACAGATCCCTAGCTGAGTGAGTCAGCAGGCATCTAGCCTCTGTGCACTGAGACTCAGCAGGTGCCGCTGTGCGCCCAGCCTTCCCTGCAGGCGTGAGCTGGATGGATCCGTCTCGGCTGCTCTCCTGGGTCTGGGCAGAGCCTGGCATTGGAAGGGGGAAGAGGGAATGCAGGAAAGGGTTCTAGAGGCTGGGAGCTGGCAGACACCGCAGGCTGATACAGCCCCTGAGCTCACACGGAAGTCTGAGGTTAGTGTTGGTGAACACTTGATTCAGTTCTGATGGGATCAGTTCAGTTCTTTGGGGTGAAAGGGTTTTGCAAGGCAGATGCATGTTCTCAGAGTCTCCTGCCACTGTTTGGACTCTTCTGGTAAGATCTGAGTTACCAGAAGCCATGCTTCTGGGGGCCCACGCAGCCTCGGACTGAAAACATGCAGAACCCCAAGCCCCAAGAGAACGCTTGCTCCGAGTGCCAGGCGCTCGCATGGTGTGTTCTGTCAGGCTGGTTGGTCAGAAGATTCAGCTCTGCCTCGCCTGGTGCTGGGATCTAACCACTGCAGCCATTGCAAACATGGAATAATGCCCACAGGGTGGCATAAAGAAGGAAGCAGAGGGTGAAGAGTGGCCGAGGAGCAGGTCCAAGTGGACTCACGAGTCCTTGGCCTTGCGCAGCTGAAGTGGCTCAGGAGGGTCTCCTTGCCCTGGGTCTGTCCTGAGGGTGTCGGTCAGCCTCATAGGCTGTGCCCATGGTGAACTGAATTCCCCAGTTTCCTGTTCTGGAGTTTGGGTGGGCCTGACCTCGTCAGGGGAGCTCTTTGGAAAGGTCAGAATGTTATGCAGCCCCAGTAGTTGTCCTGCCGGCCTAGACAACAGAGACAGGAGACAGGAAGGCTAGGTCTTCTGAAACATTTCTGGGACATGTCCTTTACCTGACCTTTGCCGTAACCTAGGGTTTGGGGAAAGTCCCAAAAAGGGGAGTGGGAGTGCTTATCACAAGACGGGGTCTCACTCCATGATGAGATCTGCGCTTTCACAGCTCAGGCAGTAAGCCGATTGGCCCAGCTGCTTCTCTAAGTGGGGTTTGGAGGACCTGCTTGCCTGTTTTTGTTGTTTGCTACTAGGTGGGGTGTGGCTGTTACTGTTGGGCGTCTGCTCCATGCCACTACCGTTGACTGGATCAGTTGTACCATGCACTGATGTGAGCTTGCTTGTTTGATTGATTCATATGCCAGTGCTCTCATAGTTGATTGTCTGATCATTGCTTAAGAACCCGTGAAGATGGCTGACCAGGGCTGCATCTCTTCCGCATGTGAAATGGGACAGTGCTGGCCAATGAATAGAAGACTCCTGAGCCTCTAAGAGTCTGCATTCAACTCATTTCTGCGATAGATTTAGCCAACTCGCAACAACGGATCAAATGCTGCCTTTGGAGAAACCCCGTGGCTGACACGGGCAGGTGGCTGCTGAGGGCTGGAGGCCTCAATCCTGAGAGTTCTGCCAACCATGGGATGAATGTGGAAGCTGCTTCTCCCCAGCCCAGCCCAGCCCACAGAGGTGAACACAACTCTGGATGCTGGTGATGCCCTGAGCAGGTGGCATAGCCAACGCTGTGGAGGCTGGGACAGAAGGAGTGATAGCTGTTTAAGACTGCCAGGATGCGGGCCCTGCAGCGTGGCCTAGTGGCTAAAGTCCTCGCCCTAAATGCGCCAGGATCCCATATGGGCACCAGTTCTAATCCCAGAAGCTCCACTTCCCATCCAGCTCCCTGTTTGTGGCCTGGAAAAGCAGTCGAAGACGGCCTAGGCTTCGGATCGGCATAGCATTGGCCGCTGCGCTCACTTGAGGAGTGAATCATTGGACGGAAGATCTTCCTCTCTGTCTCTCCTCATCTCTGTATATCTGAATTTCCAATAAATAAATAAATCTTAAAAAAAAAAAAAAAAGACTGCCATGATGGTTTGTTCTGTGACAGCAGGGGGTTGGTATGATCCCCATATGGCTCACTTTTCGGCTACGTTTCAGCTCCGACAGTGTTCTCTGGCTTCGGCCCCGTTGCCTCCTCCATCATGGGGGTGCTCCTCCATCATGGGGGTGCTCCTCCATCACGGTGGTGCTCCTAGTCCGAGCATTGGCTGGTCTCCTCAGTGCAGGCCACGCCCACCTTTGCCCTCACAGTGTGCAGAGCTGAGATCTCCAGCACTGGGAAGATGAGCACTTACCTGGCCAAGTTTGCTTTGCGTGTGTACTAAGGGTCAATACCAGGAGTTCCAACTGAACTATCAATCCACTATAGTTGACTTGGCATTTCAAATGTCCTTTCTCATTAAGAGACCATCTATGTGGCCAAACTCACTAGAATTCCAGTGAGAAATAGGCCTCACTGTGAATACACTGGATTCGGAAAGTTACAGTGAAGAACTTGGATGTCTCTGCTCTGTATTCAATTTCTTTTCTCTTTCTTCCTTTTTGTTTCTTTTTTCTTTCCTATCTTTCTTTATTTCCTTTCTCTCTCTTCTTCTTTTTAAAGATCTTTTTTTAGGAAAGTCAGATTCACTGAGAGAAGGAGAGACAGAGTGAAAGATCTTCTGTCCACCGGTTTACTCCCCAAGTGGTTGCGGTTGCTGGAGCTGAGCCATTCCAAAGCAAGGAGCCAGGAGCTTCTTCTGGGCCTCCCATGTGGGTGCAGGGTCCCAAAGCATTAGGCCAGCCTCTGCTGCTTTCCCAGGCATCAAGATGGGAAGTGGAGCAGGCAGGACATGAACCAGCACCAATATGAGATCCTGGCACATGCAAGGGGAGGATTTAGTAGTGAGTCATGGCTCTGTAGTCTCCGATGTGGTTCTCAAGCCAAGAAAACTTGTAAGTAAGTTGTGGAAGGACATTCAGAATCTTTGCTATTGTGGGAAACAATAGCCAGTTGAATCCCACCTGAAGGCACCAGGAGCAATTGATAAGGTTTAGATAAAGAATCTTCCAGCTGTGTTTTGGGAACTTTACCTTGCTGTTGATATGTAAATAGCTCAAGCCCCTCCTCCCTGGATGTGTACCTGACAACCTTCCTTTAAAAGTCTGGTGCTGAAGGTCTCCCCAAGAGGCCACTGAACCTATCTGGACAATAAGACGCTGAACTTTATGCTAGGCATGTGTTTGCAAGCAATGAATCTCAACTGAACTTGAACTATGGTTATGCAACAAGGTGGAGGAATCCACCATGGGGGGAGGGGTATGGGAGGGGTGGGGGGAATCCCCAGCGCCTATAAAACTGTACTACATAATACAATGTAAGCAACAATAAAAAAAAAAAAAAAGTCTGGTGCTGTTAATAAACTCTGGCTATTGACCATCAGTCAGTAGTCCACGCGTATTACTATCGGCTCCACCGCTGCAGGACAGTGATGATCAGGAAAGGAGACAATCATCCCAGAATTCTTATGTCAGTGCAGACACACCTTAAACGTGTATGTATGTGTGTGTTTATTTTTGATGCTGTCTGCATAGTTGACCAGGGTGGGAAGGTTCAAGGATCAGGGGAAAGTGGGCAAGACAATTGTTTACACGTTTTCTTTTCCTTCTTCCTGTGCCTGGGGGAGGGGGTACAAGGGAAGAAACCACATCCAACCTCCCAGTTGCCTCAGGTGGGAAACAGCCACCTGATGCCGTGCCAGAGTCCCCGATGCAGAGCATGTTTTGAGGGTTCTGCTCCAGTGGCTTCGTTAGTTCTGACATGCTGTTAATATCACAGCTCCGAGGATGAGGAAACCCTGCCAAGGTCCACTGGCTGACCTAGTCCACCTGCACATGTGTGTGTTTTGTATCCTTAGTTGTTGGACAGCTCTGGTTTGTGAGTTATGACGCATGGGCTGATTAACTGGGTTGCTGCAGCTCTCGTGTCTGGTGTGGGCGTTTTGCTGGTGTTGGAGCCCTTCGCAGCCCTGCAGAGAGGCAGGTTCCCACCTGAGACCGTATCATCAGCTGCTCCAGGGCTGGTCACTGCACACAGTACCGAGGTGCTGTCTAACAGAATGTGTGTGTGCGTGAGAGAGAGAGACAGAGAGAGATCGAAAGAGAGCTGCCTGGCCAGTCCCTGCCCTTGCAGGTGTACGGCAGTGAGGTACTTGATAGATCTTTCTTTGGTCTCTCTGCCTTTTTTTTTTTTTTCAGGGTCTTCCTTATGTCTCCTTTTTTTTTCTAAGATTTATTTATTTTTATTGGAAATTCAGATATACAGAGAGGAGAAGAGAGAGGGGAAGATCCTCTGTCTGCTGATTCACACCCCAAGTGGCTGCAATGGCCAGAGCTGAGCTGATCAGGAGCCAGGAGCTTCATCTGGGTCTCCCACAC